TGATGAGTTACATCGATTTGTTGCCTTCGAAGAATAATAAAACGAACGTCCAGAACAATGAGATGCATTTTGTGATACTCTATTAAGCATTTTTAAGGACATTGTCGATCGTGCGGGGAGCTAGGCGAAAGATTGGTTAAATTCACATCTTCAACCATGTCCGAAAACGAAAACTATCTGCACAAGAAGAAACATGCGAATTAAAGTTGTAGTGGTTTAGAAAACGCTGGAGTTATTGTCAAAGAATTTCGCAGTTTTTGCATCATAGGCCGAGCATCTACGTCATTTTACAATACTTTGAAAAATTTCAAACTCAGTGTGTCTGCAGTGATCATTTTTTCTTCAAATCTGTCTTTTCCGCTTTTCAAAATCTCTTCAGAAAACGTGGCCACGCTGGTGTTTCTAAGGCCTACTCCAACATTTCACATTTGCCTCAGCATGCGGGGAATTGTGTAATTGTTTTACGCATGGTTTGGAAAATATGCAACTCAGCCATTTTTACGTGATCCACAATCACTCAAATTTTCAACTTTCTGTGCACATGATTTTGAAAGGGTGTGGGTGTGGGTGTGTGGGTGTGGGTGTGGGGGTGTGGATGTGGGTGTGGGTGTGTGGGTGTGGGTGTGGGGGTGTGAATGTGGGTGTGTGGATGTGGGTGTGTGGATGTGGATGTGGGTCTTGGAGTGGTTCTACACTTCAACAACATCCACCCACACCCACCGTCAGACTTTGCATGCCTTATGAAATGCTCTTTGCATGTTAGTTCTGTAATAAATAAGAGCAAGTATCTGTAGAAAAAAACGACTATTTTGCATTCTCTGAATCGAACACGGAAGAAGGTTCACTTTATTTTTACCACCATAACGATCCATTTGGTGAATTCAGTAATTTCTATTCAGCTCCCGTTAAACTCGACGGATATACTTGGCCTACTACTGAACATTACTTTCAAGCGCAGAAATTTATCTCCGATGAAACACATTTTTGCAATGTTTTACAATTACATAAACATATAGAAACTGTTTTTTATTCTTGAAAATATCGATCAGCAGTGCAATCAGATTGGGCAGAAGTGATAGATGGAATCATGCTTAAAGCATGTATGGCTAAATTTGAACAATATTTTTGGCTTCGAGAATTATTATTATCAACTGGAAATCGTCAATTGGTTGAACATACGACACAATATTCCTATTGGGAAGATGGAGGTGATGGTAGTGGAAGAAATCAATTGAGAATTACTATGATGCAAGTTAGAAATAACCTGAGAGACAAACAATCGTAATCTACATCTATTCAGCGAAGCTTTCTTTTCATGTACTTTAATGCGAGTGATAAGAGTCGAGAGAAAAATATTTGTTGTGTTTTGAGCCATCAAAAATTTGGGGTGAAGAACATCATTTAAGGTGTCTAATGTAGAAGACATATCTGAAACCGATTTCGTCTCGATAAATTCGTTTCTTATGTACCATTGGGAATTGTGAACATTCAACTTCTTGAGAGGAAATTAAAATGTCATTCATGTTTACCAATTCCTATCCTATTACAGAAACTTGCTATTTCCAAGATTTATCAATATTCGATTTGATAGAGTCCTATATTGTGTCACTCACTGTAGCAAAGGGTGTGGGTATGGTAGAGTGGGTGTGGGTGTCTTCTCTTCACTGGCAAAAACAACCACACGTAGACCCACACCCACACCCACACTCACACGCATACCCATATCTATCCAAACTAACGACTATGATGTAATATGTTTTGAGAATCCACCTGATAACATTCTGACAACACAGAAACAAGCGTCCGTTTGTCGTGGACCAGTCTATATTCTATTTACACCCACACTCTGTGATCAGCTTTTCAAGCGCTATCACACCATATTTAAACGAACAGAAACAAAATTTTATTTGAATTTTGCATTACGGGGACACCTTTCTCAACTTCGAAAGAAACAATATGATGAAAGATGAACTTATTGACACGTGGTCGTTGACGGCATGATGGACTACGATTCAGATTAGAACTCAGGTTCAGACGATACTAGTTCTTCTTTCAATCTTTGCACGATTACAGCCTTTTTTTATGAATTACTTCATACCACTGTATCGCAAAATAGAATAATACACGAACGGACTAGACAGTAAATAAGTATGGTATTTCGAGTTTTTATTAGCAACAAGATAGTAAATCATTTACAGAAGCCTGTGTAGATGATCTCTGTTTTTTTTAAATCACTCAACGTATGTTTTGCAGTTGACAACAATCTGGTGTTGACATATGAAATAATGCATACAGACAAGATTTTTATCAACAGATTTTTTTAAATCATTAAACAGCAGTGATGATTCAAATAGCTTCTAAGCATTGAAATCACAATAATTATTCAGACAATTAATAATTGTATTTCTTTTGAACATATATCCATCCAGTGTTTGTTGTCTATCTAAATTATATATGAAAATCTTTTAAAGAAGAATTTTATCAGTCTCTACGAATAGTATACAATGCTTTTCATAAAGGACATAGATATCGTGATTAGCTGAGAATGCACACCTGTCAGAAACATTATTGTAATTATAAAAGACTGAATAAAACACTCTTACATTCAACAAGTGATTCTTCTCAAGGAAAGACATAATAACTCTTACTGAATAACGATTCAGAAATTTGAAATCAGTTGTTTCGTATTAATCGATTAAAGATGAATACTACTACAAACAGTATCAGCGAGGCTCTTTTAGCTGCACCCTATCAACTCAAT